AAGGTTTTGGACCTATGAGGATAGCTTTAGTTTCTTTTTATTCATCTGAAACTTGCTTTTCATGCATCATTTACGAATTCTATTAATATGGGAATTAATGACATTATGTTAACGTCTCTACATATAACTATAGTGGAATATAAAATAAATTGTCAGCAATAGAGCAACACAGTGCGTGGAAAAATACTTCTGTACTTAGCTTTGCCATCTACTCGACTTTTCCTATTTCCTTAATTAATTTTAGTTTACATATTTTGTTCATTGTTTAATCGTGTAGATTAATCGTTATTAATTTAAATTTTATTTTTGTTCTTCTTAATATCGGGCGACCAAAACGATATTCTCGCCCGTTCTCTGTTTTAATGAAGAGCGATTACCACCTCGTCCTGCCGAAGTCAATGCATATTTTGCCAACTCAACAAAACATGAGCATTCGCAGTCCTAATTAACTCTCAAAATTATAACCCCTAAAGGTTAGTAGAGTATAAAGGGTAGACATTAATGCAGAATCGATATTAATAAGTCGATAGAAGATGAATCATATCCGTGGGCAATTAACCGCGAGGGAGCTATGCAAAAGAAGGATGGCGCCTAACGGATCCACGGCAGACCGGTCGTATTTGCCGAATAAGGTTCGATGGGTCGATCTCATTAATCGATCGGCGCCTGCAACCTGGATAATTTCATGTTATCATCTTTACATGGCTTGGACGATATATAGCTTCCTCTAGCGGCTGCGGGATCCTTCTCAGCCCGTTATCTAACACAATCACCGCTGTTGTGCCTTTTTGTCATTTTATTTGATAAATGTATCTTGGGCACGGAGAACATTTATTTTGTTATAAAGTATATCCTTCAACCTTTTTATTAAACTTTGAGAAAGTGATTCGAACACAATAATCTGATAGAAACTAAAGACCTACTTTAATTGGAAGGCATTTTAATAAGCACGATACCAAGAGCTAAGTGGAAGAACATGCCTCATGCGGTGGAAATAAAATAACTTTTATACAAATAAGATCATTTTTAATAACCAGTATTAAATTTTTCCATCAATTCAAATTTTGCAAATTGCTACTGTTAGTACAAAAGCTAGTTTATAAAAATTTTCCATTTATATTTTATTTGTACTAAAGGTGACATTTTGTAATCTACAACTACTATAAGTAATCTGCTACTATCGATAGCAGAGGAAAATAAAATATTATATTACACTAATAAATCATAAATAAACAGTTTTTATGCTCTCCTGTAAAACAGTAAATTTCTACATACGACTTTTTACACAAACAGTAGCAATACATTACCCCCTGACGTCGTTTTGATTAAATACCTCTTCCTTAAAATTAAACAAAATAAAACATTTTTAAAACTTTTAAAGTTGCTACGTTGTTCAACCTGATGACCAATTTTATCTGATATACAGGGTGTCCCTTAAGTAGAGACAATTTTTTATAGCAGTTAAAGCACACCTCGAAAGCTACAAAAAAGTTCATATAAATAATGGGCCAAATTACAGTAGAAAATTTGGCAATCCAAGTTTTGTGTGTTTTTTTTAAGAATTATGTTTTTTGTTGAATAGGAAGCGATAACTAAAGATATATTTAATTTAATTAAGTAACAATCGCTTTACTGTAAATTACACACAATTTAATTTAAGTGAAAGTAGAGTTTGTCATTGTTTAAACCATTTAAAGGGGACTTATTAGCGTCTGAACCAATCTAAGTTCTGTTTGTTAAAAAAGAATAAATTATTTGCGATTTTTTTTTATTATCATCCAACTATACTACAGTTACTCCACTTATAGGAAAAGTTTCTCGTTTAATAAGTTTTAAACTCATATAAATTAAGTTGAGGTTTATTAGGAAAATCTTTCAGATTCAGCTCAAGCTATGTAAAAAAAATTCATTCGAGTTATTTTTTAATCCTTTTACTTAAAACTACTTTTTTTTCAGTAAACATTACTACAATTCACTCTTTCAAAGGTTTTATTTCTTGCTTTTCCATGATCAGGGACGTATTAATAAAATAATTGCCTAAGTACTTTTATTATTTATAACAAAAAAATTTAAAAATGATAATTTTTGGTTAGTGGTGGTTATGAAATTTGTGTTTTCTCTCATCTGTCTGTCATTGTTATTGATCTATATTTAAAATGTCAAATATAAAGTTTTTTAGCCCTAGCATTTACATTTAAAATAAAAAAAACCTGCCGATCGCTTCAGTTATTTCCATGAAAATGTAAATATTAGGATTAGGAACATTGGGTTTGTCACTTATAAATACAGATTAATTTTTATAATAGAGATATGGGTGAAATACAGTTTCATAACCACTTTTCATGAAAATTATTTGAAAAATCATAATTTTTAATTTTTTGTTTTTATAAATACTAAGTGTATTCAAGCAATTATTTTTACTATAATACATCCCAGATTATGAAAAAACAAGAGATGAAATTATGAAAAAAATAAAAGCTTTGAAAAAGTTAATTGAAATGATTTTTGCATCATTTTTTTATACAAATTAAGGTGAATATCAAGTTTTTTGCTTCGGTTAATCTCAACTTAATAAAATAAAATATATTAATAAAAACAAAATAAGAATTTTGCGATAAAATGAAAAAATATTTTCATAAAATGAACCCTCTTCCGATGCTTGTCACACAAAAAAATTCTTTTAATTGAAACTTATAACCTTACATAACGCTGAATTCCGAATACGAATAGAAGAGCTCAGAACTGGATTCTATCAACCTTGTGCAGTTGGCGAATAGAAGCATGCCGCTTGCAATAAATTATTTAAAAAATAAAGTTTTTAAAACAAAGCAGGAGAAATATTCACTACACCTAATAATTCAGTGATAGAAGTTTGACATTTTTTTCACCAACTATAGTTGCCCAAGTCACAGTTTATCGCCACATGTAAACAATGTATAATTAATAAACTACATAATATTATTAAATTTGATATATATATATATATATATATATATATACATAAATTAATAATGGTGTTGTTTTTCAAGAAAATTTATCGATATACTGTTTAATGATTGCTACGTTTATTATTTATTTATGTTTTAATCAGATCCTGCCCACCGTTATTTTTTCGAACTTCGAATACAATTAAAGTCGGCCACAATAAGAGTTTGATAACCGGTGATATAGAAAATATGTACTTAGAAGAGTTTGGAAATAGGTTGTTCGTATTGTCTTTTTGTGATAAAACTGTTTATTAATTGAAAACTTTTACCTGTTAGGTCTTGGGTTAAGTACGATTATGCAAGAGTCGATTGTTTCCTCTTCCACCCAATGAGAACTTAAACCCTTTTTATAAATTGTGGGCGTAGGTAATAAGTTATCTGCCATAGACTAGACCCGTGTTCGTCTTGAATTTTGAGACCAGTGCATTGGGCACTAAACCACAAATATTTTACTAGTGGACTAAAAATAGAATATTTGTTGCGGAAATGTATATAATTAAACTAAGTCTTACTCCTGAACATATAATTTTTTTTTTTTGTGTAGCCTGTTTTTACAAGTATTACACCTGTAGGCCTCCCCAATTAAGAGGGTAATGGTCTAACTTCCTGCGGGGACCAGCCGTATTGGGAAGTAGGGCCGGGATTCGATCTTATGATCTTTGCTTTACTAGAACATATAATTAAAGAAAAAAAATAAAACTTTAAATACCTATAATACTATTCAAGATTCTTTACCTTTAGAAATGAATAAAGCTCTTATATATTACTTCCTTTCATTTGATCTTTTCGGTTTTAGAGCTAAACCAAGCGTGTTATTTTTTTTACGGTTATTTTCTTCGAGTAATTCTTATCTGCCATTTAGGGTAAAAAAAAGAAATAAAACAGGAGTTTCCTTTCTTTACGATATTAAACTTAAAAGATTTAACGATTTAAAGATGGGGCTAATTAAGATTGACTGCTAAATCAGGAGACTTAAATTTGGAATTCCTGCCGTTTTTAAAGACACATAAACCAAGCCTTTATAAATTTTTATTAGCAAGGAAACATTAGCAAGATATTATGTCTTAAAGTAATACATGTCTCGTAATATCTTTAGTGACCGTATCGGTGTTATCGTATCCAGCTCATTCCTTATTTAATGACTTTACGATAAAAATAATATATATATATATATATATATATATATATATATATATATATATATATATATATATCAGAAATTTCTTGACCCCGTCGAAAAGCAACCTCCTCCCTTCGAAAATTCAAAATCCCGTTAAAATGTGCCCCCCTCAAAAATGCGCGATGAAACCCCCTTCTGGGTTTCATCCCTGGCAAGGAGGTTAAGATGATCGGGGAATATAGTTCGGCGCAATCCATCTGAAAGCCACAACACAACAATCAATGCCTCAATAGATGGCAAAAGACCAGGTGGAAGAACAAAAACAAGATGGATATATAAAATCTGATAGAATAGAAGAACTAATATGCAAATGAGCTGCATGCAGGCAACTGGACAGAAATAGCAAAAAATAGACCTAGTTGGAGAAGGTTATTTAAGGCGGCAATAGATCTACAAAGTCAGTTATGCCAACAGAAAAAATATATATTAATTTATTTGTATGTGTTAATATTATGTTTATTTTAAATATATGTTTATATATTCTTCATATACTCATATATATTAAATATTAATTTATAAATACCTTAATAATTAGTTTTTTTCCTACATCTTCAACGTAATGACCACTGCAAGCCCAATGTTATTATTCCCATTACAATTTATTTAATACTGTACTTAAATTATTTCTTCTTTTTTTTATAATGATCTCCATAAATAACAGTTATATATTTTTTAACGCTAATTTATTAATAATGTCACTGGTAATGTTTCCCTGAACCTTTTAACAGTAATAGTTAAGGATATTTGGAAATGGCAATATAAACGTAAACATAAATCGCATTGATTAATTCTCCTGACTAAGGATAAAAGAAGACTTTAATGGATGAGGTTTGATGCCCTCGGGATTTCGTCGACCGTGGAAGTCCTTGCAGAAAGGCCGTCTTCAGGACATTTGCCAAAGCCGAAATGGAAGTGTTATTTCAAATGGGCCTTCAAGAGTATACCCCATTACTGAACTCTTTGTCGGAATAAATTCCTCGCGTTCCCGGGCCATCCCACCACAAGTTCGGTAGCTCGTGTTTCCACTTTAAAGACGTCTTCCTGCCACTAAATCCTTCTTATTGCACCATTGCGAAATCAAACTCAATTAAAATAACTTATTATCGTATCTTTGACTTTTTTTTTTCTAACAACGCATCGTTACTCAGAAACGAAAGGCTTGCCTGGGTTTTTATAAGGATATGAATAAGTTTTTTACCAACAATATAGAAAAAAAATAACAAAATAGAATTTTGTTGTTTTTGGAATCACTGCCTGTTAATAAAACTTTTATATGTGAATTGATTATGGTATTTAATAATTTGTTTATTTATCAAAGTTGTTGATAATGTGTTGTAAACAATCTTTAATCATTTCTCAGTGATTGAACCAATCGAAGAGCCCATTTAATACTATTATTTTGTATTGTAATTAATTGTTTTAAATAAATATGCGTCGTAAACCAATGACTTCCTTTCCTTCAGTATCCTTTAACAACACCTCACTTATTCCTGTTGAACAAATCCGTTACCTAGGACTCCACCTGGACAAACGTCTAACTTGGAATCCTCATACCAAACTGAAACGACAAGAAACCGCTCGACGTTTCCAACTACTTCAACACTTATTCGACAAACGTTCTAAACTTCCAATTAATTACAAATGACTCATATATATGACTATAATAAGGCCTAGTTGACGGAGCTCCACCAAACCTTCAAATTCCTCTCGCATCCAATCCTTACAATCCAAAATCCTTCGTAAAATCCTCAATGCTTCTTACTTTATTACAAATGAAATCATCCATAATGACCTTAATGTTCCTTATGTATCAGATATGGCCCAATATAGATATCTATCCTTCCATAATAAACTTCATAACCATCCCAACCCTCTTGTTTCTAACCTTGCTTTCTATTCAATTCCTGATGACCCTCCGAGGCGTCTAAAAAGAAGATGGCCCCGTGATCTCTTAATATAGACATATTATTAGAGTGCTACCAATGGGTAGTTTCTCAACATGTGTTTCATTTCATTATATCCACTTACGCATTTACTAGATGTATTTTTTTTTATATACAGTTGTATACATCATATAAATAATATTAAAAAAATAAATATTTATCCTGTCTATAATTTTTATAGAAACGAAATAATAGCAAAATAATAATAATAATAATAAATAATTACAGTTTTAACTTGCGTACTAATGTATGTACTCATTGTGCAATATTTACAATCATTTATACGCAGGAACTCCATGTCAAGCCTTTTCACCTGTTGTGGAGGGAAAAGTAGAACTCCAGGAGTTCTCAGAGCTATTCATTCTACCACGGCATTGGAATTAACAATCAGTGCAGGATGAGTAAACGTGCTACTGCCTGTACTATTCGAAAATTTGTGTTAATTGCTCATCATATATTTTAAATATATGTTCTCGAGTGAATTATCTTAGATATTATTCCCTTACTTGCCCAAAGCAGACCAGACGTTGGACTCGATGAAATGGCTTACAAATCACCTATGAGGCATTATTCAAACGTATAAGGGCAGTCCTTATAAGGCAGCAGTCTGGAGGATGGTACTAACTCAACCCAATGATGAAGACAACCTCGAACATGCTAGTATGTTTTTTTACATACCAAAAAGCAAGTTTAGAAAATGCTTTTTACTTCTTTTTATTCATGTTTTCACCCTTATCCAAAAGAGTAAACAGCGTAAAGAAATTGGGAAATGATTTGGTTATCCAAGAAATATTGTAATTCTGATAAAATTTGTTGGATCTGTTCAAATTTCAATCGCTGATAAAACAATTTTTTTTTTTGACCTTCCCTTCCTCGCCGTTAAGGCTATACGGGATTTTCCCGGGCCAGGGGGTGTGAGCGGGGATTTAAATACTCCCCCGGCACCGGGACGCGAACTCGTGACTATTTTTATATCTTTGATTCATATGTCAGGTTGCCGGGCAACGGCGGTGCAGTGCACACGCTTTAGCCCATTCGGCCACCCCGTCCACACAGATACAACAAAATTGTCATTCATACAGCTACTATACTTTTATCGTGTAAGCTTAAGTGATAAAAGAGGATTGTAACTTTTAGTGATTTATTAGAAGGACCCTATGCGGTTTAGAGAGTAATTCGAGAATTGTTTTAAAGTTTTATAAATTTTATTAAACTTTTATTCAAATGTTACTTTTGCGAATCTATATCCTGTCGACCTCTTCAAATATCTGCGTCTCATTTCTCTGATGGCCTCAATGTAAGAATCCTACATTGGCCTAAATAAAATACCGAAGTTTTAATGTAAATTTATGAATACATACACACATAGTTTTAGGTTTCTAAGGAGTAGACATAAATAATTAAATTCTATACAAGTAACAAAATATTTTCGATTTATTCTTGATATTTTATTTTCACTTACCTAAATATAAAATATATCGTACAGGAATGAATAGCGGTCTTGAAAAATTTGTAATTCGAATTTTCAATGAAAAAGCACCTGCAAGTCCATGTAACCAAAATAGTCTGTGTATGTGTGCCACAAAACTCTAGATGTCGATTTGTTTCTCAAAATTGTCTGTGTGTCTCAAAAACTTTAAAATCGTTTGTATGTGTCTAAAATTACGCATTTAAGGTAGTAATATATCAGAGATTTTACAAATCTTTCACTAATATGGACGTTCCGAAAATGATCATTTTAAATAATTTGTGATGTTTTCACCTAATGTTTAATACTAACATCGTTTAAATTGAGATCGATTGAAGAAAAGGGCTTTGGTTTCCAGCAAAAGTATTTTGTTTTTGTTTTTTTGTTTTTTTGAGAAAGAATACATTTTGCTTCAATCAAGGGCATTGAGTATTTGAGATACAAAAAACTCATTTATACAATATATACAATTACAAAGATAATAGAAATGATAACAAAAATAAGAAAACGAAAGCTTAGTAAAACAGATGAAATAAAATATGATACAACTCAAATTAAAAAAAAAAAATAATAAATATGAAAAAAATTCATGCTTAATTTAAAAAAAAAATGAATAAATAAAAAAAAAACATTAGTAAAAGTATTAATTTTCATTTATGATCAGAAGAGTAATCGCGAGGTCAAACTATATTTTATTTCATTTATTTATTATCTGTTTCCTTTCTTTCACTGTATTTCTTTCCTAAGGGTGTGTTTCTTGGTATCAAATACACATAAGGTACTCTTAGTCGATCAACTTTTTTAAATATTCTAGATGACGGAAATTTTTTTGAACAATTTCATTGAATAATTTCCTCATTTAGATTCGAATAGTATTGGCTATTTTATTATAGATGGGGCCATGTAATATTACTAAAGATTCAAGTTTGTAATTTTTTTTTTTTTTTATTGCCAAACAACTAAATTCAATTTTGTAATTTGCCCAGTTGAAACATAAAATTATTAATAATTTTAATGTGGATAAAGAAACTTGTTTATAGAGAAATATTACAATCCATCTTAATTAAGGACATTAACAATAGAACCGAGAGAACAGAAGTCACAATAAATAAAATATATATTCAATTATGCAGTTCAAACCTTTTTCTTCCAATTTATTTTAGATTTTTTTTTAAGTATTGTTATTGACAAAACTTCCCCAATTTTTGGAGTTTATCATATGCTGAAAAAGGGAACAGAGATTCACCTTAATTAATAAACGTTTACTAATAAATTATTTTTTTTTATTTAATGAAATTTACAATTGTATAAACAATACAACAAGTAAAAATGCACACATTAGAAATAATTACATGAACAGACTTGAAGAGATACTGCCCAGTGGTAGTAGCACTCCCTATTTAATTCTAGGTGAGATCACGGGGTCATCTTATTTTCAGACACCTAGGGGATTATCAGGAATCGGGGAAGAAGCAAGGCAGGAAACAAGTTGATTCGGATGGGACTGGAGTTTATCATGAAAGAGTAGGTATCTGACTCGGGCTAAATCAGCGGCATATAGGACATTAAGGTCTTTATGAATGCTTTTATTTGTGACAAAATATGGGGCATTAAGGATTTTACGAAGAATTTTGTATTGTAAGGATTGGATACGATAGGATGTTCGGTAATAAATAATAATCAATATTAAATGCATTATTTTTTTATACTAACTTATAGGCAAAGAAAAAAAAATATTAATTTGAAAGGACCCATTTAGTTTTGACTTGGAATTATTTAAAACCTGTGAAATGTTGATTGGTCGTCTTCTACTGAATGCCGAACGAACAGCTATATTTGAATTGAGAAACTCAATTATTTGAGTGAGGTGGTTAGTGAAAATGTGTGATGCACACGCCAGACGCCAGAGCATAGAAGCAGAAACCTGTTGAGTAACAGTAATTTTCTAAAAGGATTTCAGGTATCCAGAGGGGACAACTCATTCCAACCTGTCGGGAGATACAACCAGTAGCTGCAGGTAAATGACTGCATGTTCCTGATCTCTTTTTATCTTAATCCACACAGCACGACCGGAGGGCCGACCACCCCCGGACCGCAGAAGGCGGAGGTAGTTAGGCAGCTATTCGCGGGGATATTGCGCGGTATGCGGCAAGAGCAGTGCCCCTCCCGTTTAATGAATATCAGTGCGTGTTCTGCCCTTTCCTCCGAGTCTTGGTCTTCCTTTTAAGTGTTTCACGAATCCACCCTTTGAATTCTTTAAGCGGACCGCGTCCTCATGTTCGACAAGGGAAACTCCATACTCAGTGGCAGTCCATAACCCCGCCGCTTCCAAGAACCTTCCTAAGGCAATGCGCTGTTAATTGCTATTATAACCAATAAGGAAAACATTGCTTCCCTCATGAATAGGCATGGCTAATGAACAAATTAATTACATGTGTGAATTTGTTCTTCGACTGTAGTTTATTATTTTTCTTAATGTTGACTAAACATGCCTGATGACTATTTACACCCAGAGAATGTATAATGCTGACATAATGGCAATAATCTATTATCAACGTTCTGGAAATACAGAATCAATACAGTCAACTAGGAGATGGAGAGCATTGTGACTTGTCCGACCAGACAGTTATAGTCCGTAGGAAACTGTTCCTGCCTAAAATTTTTGTGGTAATCAACAGTTTGAGCTGGCGTTCCGTTCCCACCGAACTTTACAAATAGGTATAAAAAAAAGTTGGACTGCTTGCATTTTTTATTTTTATTACAATATCTAATCTAATATTTACGGACGAATATAAATAGAAATTATATTAAATCATAAACCTAATCCCTACGTACCCGATTGAGAGAAATTTAAAAAATATTATGTGATAAATAGTCAGAACGCAGTCATTATTAAGGCTTTTTTTATTAGTGGTGACGTTTCAACCTATATATGTGGGTCATCATCAGGGCTGAAAATTTTTTTAATAAACCAGAAATATCATATTACAAGACAGATAAAAGTTAATTATGAAAAAATAGTGTTTTATGATACATGAAATAGACAAATAAAATATACAAATCAGTTATAAAAAATAAAAAAATAATGTATACAATTAATTTATAATAAATGTGATATTTACTCTTACTAACCGTGTTTCGAGCACTGAAAGTATCAAGTACTGACACTTTGGTTGATAAGTAAAAGGGTCGGTGGAGAATTTTCTGTATGTGCTTTTAAGATAGCAAAGCAAGGTAAACACAGGTAGAGGAGGGTAATATTTTTGTTTGTTGCACGCAAACAATTCGATAACTAAAATATTCAAGATGTATGAGACTTTTAATGACCTGGTTAGTCGAGTGTTCTGCATATCATAGATGATAACTATGGTATGTATAACAGTCGACTAACTCCCTTCATTAATTTTATTTATTTATTTTTTATTAAATGTTTTATTATTTTTTTAATTTTTTTAGATTTACAACTGTATTACATGGAAAATACAATAAGTAAATGTGACATTGGTAACATGGCATGTACAACATGAAGAGAAACTACCCATTGGTAGAACTCAAATTAAAGTTCTATATTAGAAGGTCCCGAGGCCATCTTCTTTTCAGACGCCTCGGAGGATTATCAGGAATCGAGGAGGAAGCAAGGTTTGAAAAGAGAGGATTCGGATGGTTCTACAGTTTGTTATGGAAGGATAGGTATCTGGATTGGGCCAAATCGGAAACATATGGAACATTAAGACTTTTATGGATGATTTTATTTATGAAAAAGTAAGGAGCGTTGAGGATTTTACAAAGGATTTTGGATTGTAAGGATTGGATACGAGAGGAATTTGAAGGTTTAGTGGATCCCCAAAGCTCAATTCCGTAAGTCCAAATAGGTCTTATTATTGTCATATATATGAGTCGTTTGTAATTGATTGTGAGCTTAGAGCGTTCGTCTAGTAAGTGCTGCAGTAGTCGAAAACGTCGGGCGGTTTCTAGTCGTTTCAGTCTGGTATGGGGGTTCTTCATTAATTGAAAAAAAAAAATGTTTAAAGATAAGTTACATAGGATGGTAAATTACAGCTTCAGATCTGCAATAGTGCCTCCATTGTAGACAGTCAAGGAAAATAGATATTAAAATGGTTTGGACATGTTTATCGAATAGAGGTGAGAGAACCCAGGACACAAAAATCTAGAACTACAGATGGAAGACCACGAGGGTGGCTTAGAAATTTCTATCAGGAATATATCCAGAGGATTAGAGGTAACAGAGGCAAGACCCTCGAAGAAATGAAGCCGGGAAAACCGATCCAGGTTCCTCTACGCCAATATTTAAGCTCGAAGAGAAAGTAGAAGGGAAGATCTGTAGAGAGAAAGAATCAATGTTATAGAAAAAATATATATACCAAATACCTTATACACTAATAGAGAGGATTTTTCTAAATTTATATATTAATGTTAGTAACGATTATTGATTCTTAACATAGTATTTTTTTTATATTTTTATTGAATACTAATACATTCTGCCACATTAAAGGGCATTAACATTAAGGCTACATGAATCATTCACACAATATTTACATAAAAATAATAACTGAGAATAATAGAAATAATAAAGAAAAATAAATATAGAAAAATAAAATAAGTAAATAAATAATAGTAATAATAAAATAAAAATAACATCTTAGACGCAGGCTAACCTACAACACAGTATTAAATTAATAATGGAGCCATGTTAAGATTTCACATAACAGAAGAAAATTCGTGGTTTGACTCCACGACTATGGTGAAGGATTACTTTTTTTTTTACTGATCCATAGGTGGGCAACCTGCGGCCTCCATTAGCTAGCTGCGGCCCTGTAGGCCGCATGTGGGCTCTAAATGATTTGTGCCATATTTATTAATCTAACGCTATAATTAATTAATATTTAATTATTTATGTTACGAAAATTAATTGAATGAAGTTGAATATATGTATATGGGAATGTGTATTTAGTGATAAATAAAAATAGCAACAGTAAATATAAAAATTTGTTGCGGTCTGCTTTAGCATTTCCCAACCTTACTGTGTTCTCTAATGATGAAAAGATTCCCATCTTTCGACTGGCCCATGTAAAACAAATTATATTGTTACCGACCTTTAAAATAACTAGATCTACCTAATCAGAAAATAATTAGAATATATCTGAAATTTTTACATTGACGTTAAATGAACACCGTATGAAATCGAGGAATCAGGTGTTGAAAATTTTATGGAACTTTCTTTTTAAAGTAACCATTTTAGGAAAAAAATTTGAGGAACTTTCTTCTGTTTAAGTTATGTATGTTTATATTAATGTAAGTTTATATCAGTTTGGCTTTTATTTATTTAAGTTATTAAAATATAAGTGAGAAATAAATAGTAATTTGGGTTGCATTAGAGTCATAGCTTATCTTAAATGAATTAATTGACTCTAATATGCGGTTTGTTTAAATAACTAAGAATAAAAGTCATTTTTATATCGAGTTTTTTTTACCAACGCGACAGAACTTTTATGTAAAAGTTTCTTAAAAATAAAATTTCTTTTTGGTCTGTATATGAACAAGAAAAAATTTTAGTTCCGAAATAACTTTTTTTTACAGTTATTTATTTATTTATTGAGTATTACAACAATCTGTCACATGGACATTAGTTGTAGTGAGGTAGGATAACATTCACACTATATGTCCGAAATAACTACGAAGCAAAATGAAAAAACAAATATTACAATAATACTGAAAATAATTTTTTTTAAAAAAGTTTATTTTATTTTTTTTATTTATTTATTTAGAAATATAATCTTCTGTCACAGGGACAATAATTATATTGATAAATGAACACATTCACACCGTATATACAAAAAATAATAATAAAATTAACAAAAGTAAAATAATAACTATATACAATAAAAATAAATAAAATAACCTAAATACAAGTAAATTAAAAACAGTCACACCTATATACAATATATACAATCAGGCGGGGAACCCAAATCCCCGCGCTACTCTCTCAACTGCCTCACCGGTGCTAAAGCCGATGTAGTTTTAAAAAAGTTAAAATTTTGTTTCAATCCCTGATATGAATACAATAGCTGAATACGAGATTTCTGAAAATTTCATTTGGCTACTTATTTAAATTCGCATAGACTAGTTTGGATACGCACGATTTATCTATGAAAATAAAAGTAAACATGTCAGCTTATTCGTATAAATCCGCTAGCACTAGACAAGTGGGCGTTCGGATCTTCCGCCGTTTTATTAATATTCAAGGAGTCTGAGAAATTGATTCTAAAAAACAAGTTCCATTTGTTAACGCCCTCGCCACGTTGTTTGTCCTTTTTAGATTTTGTTTATGCTCAAAGAATTCAAAATCTAAAAAGGTAGAACTGCGACAGAGGAAAAATGTTCCTATTTATAACATTGCATGTTGTATTTTCTCGACACGGAGAAATCGTTCGTTTTATTGCTTACTATTCTGAGATGGAAAATATTTTTCATCGCCAATTTCAAATTTTAATTCAGTGGTTATAATGATATTCTGAATCACAACATTTTATTTGAATATTTGCATGGCCTGCTGTGAAAGAACCAACCAAATGACAGGTGAAAATGTTCGTTTCCTCGTGTGAAATGACTTTTCAAATGTTTAAAATTGATTAAAATAGAGACGATAACCACAAATCTGTGATTTTTCTTTTTCTGAAATTAGAATTCTTCGTTCAATTTTTTTGTTATATACTGTTGCAAATAATAATTCGTGTATTGTTCATTCGGCTTAAAAAACTATTGTTTTAAAATTATCTAATAACATATCGCGTATTATATTGTTATTTTATTTCAAAATGTTACCAAGTACAATTTTGATAGGGCTCAATTTTTAAGTAAGTTTTTGGGAATTTCGATTTTATTCGTCCATACAAAATTACAGTAAGTGTATACAAATAAAAATTATTGTTTTTTATTATTTTTTTTTTCTAGTGTATATAGGTAAGTATGTGTGATTTTTATTTATTTATTTATTTTTAGGTTATTTTATTCTTATTTATTGTATATATATATATATATATATATATATATATATATATATATATATATATATTATTTTCTGTGTAATTTATTTTATTCATTGTACATAGAGTGTGGATGTGATCTCTGAACACTTTTATAAATGTACTTCGAGACAGATTATAATATTTTTTAAAAATATAAAAAAAAAAATTGTATTCACACCTG